TAACATCTCCTCTATGTGGGGCTCCAAACACCCACATAGCTCATTTAGCAGCAGATGCTCACCAGGTAGTACTTCCTGCTCTTGGGAGTGTACTCAGGGTCCCACTCCTCCTCCGGGGGGCGCACCGGAGGATTCATATTGGCAGGGTTTCCGTTGCTGTTGTTTCCCGGATAGTTTCCTCTGTTCCAGCCTCGGCCTCGGACTCTGGGGAACTGAAACCACAACAGCAGCTGCAGTCAAACCTCCGGTCAACAGACGAACAGCAAGATGAGAAAAGTCTATAAAGTCGGTCCAAATCAGAGTCGAACCAGAGACGACGACGACACACACAGAAAGGCCAAACTGATGGAAACCAGGCGTTAGTCTGGTGGTGAGGTGAGTTTCCACTGACTTACGTTACCTTAATAAAAACCAGGCAGTGCATGGAACATGTATGATAGAGTCACCAGCATTATCATCATCATCATCATCATCATCATCATCATCCACATTATGTTCCTGAGCATTAGGTTGAAGGAACAGAGCAGAGAAGTCTACTGTGATGCCGTTAGGACAGAGAACTGCAGAAGATGAGATGTCAGTACCTCAGTGAGAAACAACAACAGCTCAGAGATGAACCAAAGCAGGAACTTACAAATCCTCGTCCTCGTCCTCGCTCAGCGTTGTGGCCCTCGTACTCTCGGGGGCCCCTGTCTCCGGGGCCGCTGTAGTCCCGGGGTGGGTAGCGAGGGTGGCTGTAGCCCTCCTCCGAGTGCTCCATCCCCTCACCCAGGTACTCCTTTCCCCTGAAGGGGGGCGGGTAGGGGGAGGGGGAGGAGGAGGAGGAGGAGGAGGACGGAGAGCGATCACGCTTCTTCTTACCCTTCCTGTCGGGAAAAAACAGAAAATCACTTTCATCAGAACAGTCAGGAAAATGAAAATGAACTAAATATAGATAATAAACCAGTAGTGACCAGTGGAACAGTGGCTGCATAAAGGAGGTGCTGGTATTACTGGTATTAGTGGTATTAGTGGTATTACTGGTATTAGTGGTATTAGTGGTATGTTAAAGGTGCTGATGCTGCACAGGCTCTTCTAAATGTAGAACTTATTGATAGTGGACGATATTGAGGTTGCACCAGAATGAGATGTGTCACTTCTTCTATGTGCGGTTTGCTTTAAATGTTGGTTTAAATACGATGTTCCGTCTCTAAGTGTTCTCTTGCTCAGTTTAAAGCTGGTCCTGGACACATGTACCAGACCAGGACCCTGCACAGGATCAACAGCCAGCTCTCAGCCACATCCCTGAATAGTTTTCATTATAAATGCAGTATGATCAATACGTAATTTGTTAACCGACAACCAAAACTGAGCGCAGTGAACATTTGACCTGTTCTATTATCGCTGATACATGATATGTTCTATAAGCCTCCGACGTACAGAAGCTCCTCCATTTACACTGTCAGAGGTCATGAACCTCCTCAGAGTCTCTGTCATGGTCCCGCTGCTGCTAAACTCCCACAATGCTCTCTGCTGCCACCATGAGCTGTAGTCTGAGTGACGCCTCCTCTGGTCTCTACAGGATTAAACAGGAAGAGGCTCCACCTGGTGGAACAACCAGGTACTACAGCTGGTCTACGATACTTCTCGTCTGTACTTTCTAGTCAAATGGTTTTAGATCAGGTCTGCAGATACAAAATATTAAATTACTCAGATCAAAGGCAAAAGATACTTGGACATGCCTGCTCTAAATGTGCACAATTTGGCTTTAGGAACTCCTGCACGCTGTCGAACTTAAAAATAAATAAAAAATAAATTTATCAGTGACATTTGTGTGCCAGGCCTCCATCAGGACAACGGTTTGGTTTCCAGCGTGGACATGGCACAGGGTCCTTCTCTACACATCTAATCTGGTTATTGTTGCTGTGACTTGTGTCTCTGTGTGGGCTGGGCAGGTTCACTGTGTACATTCATCGCTGACAATCCTTTTTTGTTAATACAAATAAAAAAGATGTGCTGTCTCACACTTTAAATCTGCCTCTTTCCTCACACCTTGAATTTGTGTCGACCACTAACACTGAAGCAACACAACCTCCATCTGCTTTGAGCATTAGGAAGAAATCCTAGTTAAATCCTAACAGTCAAACAACACAGCTCGTAGCGATGCTTAGATTGTAACAAATGTTAAACAATTTGCTTTTGGAAGCACAAACTACTGTTGTTGGTGGAACATCGCTGCACGTCTGATATTAAGACCCTGTTCGGCGCTGTAGACGGCCAGAGTTTAGCTTCACTAATGCTGCACCTCTGAACAATAAAACCTGTCAGCAGGTGAGAAAAACATGTTGTGAATGAAGAGAAAAGTCATCAAAGCTTCACCATTTATCAGCCAGAAACTGTAAAAACAGAAAAAAAAAATCTTTGTGTTTTGAACTTCAGCGGTCTTAAATGAGTCATGAACGACACATTCAAGCAAAACTACGATTGAAATCATGATATTTAATTAAAATCATTTTATTCTATATGCCTCCTTAGAGATCAGCCAAAAAATAAAAGGTTCACAGCAGCCGTATTCTGTAAAAAACAAGTTTGTGCTCGACGGTGTGAATGAGAGGCCACGACTGACTGAGCTGTGACGAACAGTCATGCGACAAACATTTAGTGATAGTCGGGATGAATTGCAGGCGGTTCACACGGAGCAGGAAAGTGAAACGTGGAAAACTAAAGGCTGAGAACAAAAATCAAACATCCTGGAGCAGTAAAACAAATGCAGCACGGCTCAGAAATGGTGCAGACGTCCTCAGATGTATTCATCTCCTTCCACTAAAGAAAAGGCAAAACTCACAACAGTCACTCAAATAACTAGAAACTGGAAAAAGTAATAATAAATAAAAATTTGCTAAATTATAATTTAGTGAAATCAGACGTTGCTTTTGAATTGTGGTTGAAAAGAATAATTAAAAATAAAAAAAAATACTGTCCTGGATAAACTAGAGGCCTTTGCTGATGAGCAGTGGTCCAGAACACCTGTCAACAGGTGAAGAGTCTGACTGAGAGTTACAGGAACACCTGATGGCAGTGATTGGCTCAGAGGGTTGTTCAGCTAAATGTTAGTTCACGGTTCCCATCATGCTGGTTTGCTTGTTTTTTTGTTGTTGTTTATATATATATTTCTGTTGAACCACAATTCAAAAGCAATGTCATAAGTTTCATTAAATTTTTATTTATTATTACTTTTGTCAATTTCAACTTATTTCAGAGACTGAAGCTGGTTTTTCCTTCTTTAACGGAGGGCATGAATACATCCGAGGACGACTGTATCCAGAGGAGCAAGTTGCTGAAGAACATCCTCAACAACTCAACGTCTTCGTGGAGTTGATTTAAAAAGTACTGTGAGGTTTGTAGAGGTTTTCTAAGCAGTATCTCTGGTATGTAGAGCCACTAGGAGGTGTTGGTGAAACCTGTAGACCAGGGGTGTCCAGTCCTGGTCCTCCAGGGCCACAATCCTGCAAGTTGTAGATGTTTTCCTTTGTCCAACACACCTGATTCAGATGATCAGGATCGTTATCAGGCTTCTGCAGAGCTTGATGATGAGCTGATCATTTGAATTAAGAGGGAAACGTCTAAAACTTGCAGGACTGTGGCCCTGGAGGACCAGGATTGGACACCCCTGCTGTAGACACTTGTTGAACCAGTGTTGGTTCCAGTTGTTTTTAGTTTTCTGTTGATTTTTTCAGCTTTGTATTTGTTATTTCTTACATTCATACCGTTATAAACATATATATATATAGACTGGTACAGAAACCACATGTACTTTTATTTTACGACCAGAAACTAAAAACATCAGTATATCTGCACCCTCAGTGTTCTTGTAAATAATACGACAGTTTTATGGTTCGTATTTAAATCTAACTTTAAGTCTTCACGCCACAACATTTTTTTTGCTTCTGCTTTGCACTATTACAGTTATTTTTATTTGATTTAGTTATTTTATTTGACTCTATATTTGTTGTTGTGCTGTTGCATCGACCCACCAGAACAAGCTCCTCGTATCGTGTAAACTACACCTGCCAACAAATCTGTTTCCGATTCTGACACTGAAATGTAAACGACGGTAATCTGATGGTTTTGAAATAAAGATATTGTCGGAAAACACAAATTGGATAAAATAAAACTGGAATAGGGACGTTATCAGTAACACCAGCATGCTGCACATGAAATTGATTTTAGTGTTCAGTTTTAAGTTTTCTGGAGTAAAGAGCAGAATATTTAATACGACCTTCTCAGCTTTAAGAGCATCGAACACAAAGATGTAAATAAAAAACATTAGTTAAGAGACACGTTTGATTTGTTGCTGTCAGATTACTCTTCAGCCTCCTCCACACCGACACAGCTGTGCAGTGTAAGAGGCTTTTCTCTGAACACTGTTGTTACGTATCAGCTGGACTGTAAGCTAACAAACAGGCCTTGATCTGGCTCCACACTGACAGACGGGACGTACTTGGATTTCTTGTGGTGTTTCCCAGATTTCTCAGAGGACCTCTCTCTGCTCGGTCCTCGGGAGCCTCCAGGGCTCCTGCCTCCTTCTCGCTTGCAGTCACGCTCCTTCCCAGCAAACCTCTTACGTCTTTCAATATCCAGGCGAAGGTCCATCACATCGCCTTTGAACTTTTTACTTGGATCCTGCAGAGACATGCTTTTATTAGCCACCAAAACAGCTGCTTGCGAGACTGATGGGCAATTTCTGAATGCAGTAATCAAGCACACATGTTCCCATATAAACAAAAATACTATGAATTATTGGTAAAAAATGACAGTTTGAAAATATATGAATATCCACAGTACTTAGATAATCGCTGTGTTCCCTCTAGTGGTCAAAACAAATATTACATGACTGTAACATCAGTAACTAGTGTCACAAATACAGTGATAAATAACTATGTGTAGCAGGTAAAACATTTAGACCTTAAAATCCTTTACTTTGTTGAAACCAGCAGCATGCATGTAGCTCATTAAAATAAAGTGACTTTCACAGTTTTGTGGCTTGATTTTTTTCTTTTCAGGAAAAATACTTACAAGGTAAAGGCACTGATAACGTCCCTTGAGAGGCTCGGACTCGGGATCTTAATTCACTTCCTTTAAGCCTTTGCTTGGGTTCGTACATACCCAATCAATAACCATATCTCATAGGCTGGGGGGCTTGCTTGGCACTTACAAAACACAATTGGGCTCTTTTGATTTAGAAATATGCATCCTTTGAAAGAAAAGCACAAAGCTGAACACTGCTGCTCTGGATTGTCTCAGATTTGCTTCCAAATACGTCAAATTTCAAAAGGGCTCGTCACCTTGTAGCTCGTCTCCTCCATATCCTCAAACAGGTGAGAGTGCCTCTTAAAGGCACTGGGGGAAACATCGATTCTCCTGAGAGAGGACGAAGTGTCGGGTCAGTGACAGCGTCAGAGTGAAACAGCTGCACATATGAACTGTTTGATGGTGAGTGGTGAGGTGGTCGGTGCTGGACGATACCTGTGGATTTCTGGGCTCTTCCTTGCCTTCATCATTTCTACCTCTGCAGCTTTTCTTTGGTACATGGCAAACCGCTCACTTAAAGTCATGTCTGAGGAGTGGAAGTGTTGGGCTGCAAACAAAGAATAAAGAGGCGTTATTCTCCACGCGACCGACCGTGGACACTAACTTGTACGTAAATTGTGAATCGGTGGAGCTCGTCGGCGTGTCCAGACTCCTGTTGTCGTCGCATCTTCTGCAGAAACAGAACCAGCGCCGACCTCACTGTACCTTTGATGTAGTGCACGATCGAGACTATGTGCTGAGCGAACAGCTCTGACGGGCTGCGGCGGAGCTGCGCTGACTGAATGTTCTGGAAAATGGAGCGAAACTCTGGATCTTTCTTAGACGGATTCAGCAGATCTCTGGGCATGATGCGCTCTTTAGACAGAGAGGAGCTGAGAGGACAGAAGGAACGTCGATTAATGCAAACATGCACAAGAAAACATTTAAAAATGATGCTTGAGGACTAAAAGTATTCAAAACATCAGATGTGAGTCATTACATGAAAAAAAAAACTGCCTCCCACCTGACTGAATGACTTCTTATGTACAATAACTTCATAATGTTAATATTTCTAACATTACAATGTACATCAGAGTCCATCAGGGTAGGTTGAAGTGTCATGCTTTTTAATTTACTGGATATAGACACATGACATTTTCAGGGTGAAAAACACATTAAAGTTCTGTTAAAACCTGCAACCAGATCAGTTTTACATCCAGCCAGGCGTCTAAACAATAAATCTGATGCTGTTCATTTTTTTCTATGACCAATTCTGAGCATCAAAACCACGAGATGCATCAGTTTCAACAGCAAAAACTCAGAAACGAGCACTGGTACCATCAGCTGCTTTATCTAACGTAGCCACAAGCTACTAGTGTTAGCTTATGACTACATTAGAAAACTGTATGGACTCAGACGGAACATGGTCTAGACGGTGATCAGCTGGTGTGTTCTGGACTTAAAATGGTCCTTCCATTGTCTAGAACTGGTTCTGACCAACCACCACCACACATGCTGATATGAGCCTGCAAAGTTTACCCAGAATGCACTTTGTAAAGTTCTCTACGTTAGATTATATACATACAAAACGATACAAGGACAGCGTACAGTGGATCTCAGATAAACAGTCTGAAGGAATAATTTAAGATATTTGGAAATACACTTGCTTTCTTGCTGTGAGACATGTGAGTGTGTAAAAATTCAATAACAAGTTTTTTTCTTTTAAAACCTTTCTTGTAAAACCTTTCAAAGCCAGTGTTAGAGTGAATTTTACCTGAGATACAGAGCAGAAAAGTCAAGTCACTGCTGTGTTACACATTAAAAAAACAACAAACGTTGACCAAAAGTGATTCCAATAAGATTAAATTGAACAAATGTACATATGAATGTTATGACTAGGGGCGGGACTTTAACGCGTTAATTACGATTTATTAATTACAACAAAAATAACGCGTTAATCAAATCTGTCACTATCCAGGACTGCTAGCGCTAACAGCTCCGGCAGTTTATGTGCTCGCTGCTACATGCTTTGTGTTCAGGCGGTACCATCGGCTTAATGTGCTTCGGTGGGATGCACATTGTTTTTGCACAAGTTGCACAAAACCAGGCTCTTGTCAAGGCTTCCATCAGGCAGTTAAAAACACTACAAAATATATTCTCAGCATGTAGGCTGTTGCTTGGAGGTTGTTGTTGCAGCAGGTGGATTTTGAAAACAGTAACATCCAAATAATGGAAGCCAAGCGGCCGATGGCAGGATTAAACCTGCAGCCTACACCTGGTGAGTCAGACTGATGAGCTACACGTTATTATCGGTCAGGCGTTGCTAGAAAAGGTGGGATCTGTGCTATGTTTGAGTGAAACGCTGTAATCTTGTGTGTTGTACTTACCCGGGCATTTCATCTAAAGAACCGATTTTGAGCTCAAAGTCCTCCCTGGAGGCTGACAGGTGTCGAACAGGTGACTGCTCTCGAGGAGGAAAAGCTCCAGGAAACAGCGGCCGGTCTTTCTCCCTGGAGGTCGTGGGAGGAGTCAGACTCCTCCTGGACTTCTCCTTCTCTTTCTTCTCCTTCTTCTTGGACTTCTCCTCCTTCTTGGAGCTGTGTTTGCGGCTTCGGTACATCTCCTCCTCCATGTGGTCAATGTGCTCCGCCTCTTCAGCCTCCCTCCTGCTTTTCTCCTTGACAGACGGGTAGGACGTCGAATAACTGGGCTCGTCCCCCCATTTACCGAAAATGTCCCGAGCTGTGAGGGTGGGTTTGACCTCGCCGTCCTCGTCCATGTCCCTCTCCTTCAGCCCGTGGGACTGGAGGAACTCCTCTTCTCCGTCGTCAAAGAACGGCAGCGTCTTGTCTTCCTTGGAGTCACCGAAGGAGGCCGACGAGATGCTGAAGAGTTCTCCGGACTTGCTGCTTTTCTCGGCTTCTCTTTCTGCAGCCATCTGCTCCTTTTCTCGACCGTTCTCCTTCTCGGCTGCTTGTTTTTTGCTTTTATTCTCAGCCAAGAACCTGAAACAGAGAACCCAAGTGAGCTTTAGCAGCTGCAGCACCGCGAACGCTAGAAAAGTGCTTGTTTTAATAATGATGCTCAGATGAACAACGCAAAGAGGGAAAAACAAGACCAGACAAGAACAACAAACTGTCACAGGCTGAAAGTGCAAAATGCAAAATGCACACCAGGGATGGGCACGTCTAAAAAAAACCTGCAGTTATAAGATAAACTGTAGATTCTTTGTAATTGTAGAAGCTTCAGTAAAAAAAGAACAGCAAAGTCCAGCTGTTTTTACTGAAGCTCCTTGGGTGCATCTGTAAGTTTATTTATTGGATTACTAACTCCTGCCAACCACCTTCCTGCTGTCTATTGACTAATCCTGAACTTTTCTTCTACCGTCATCATGTTTTGTGTATTAATTTACTGAACGCATTTATTTTGACTTATTATTGTGTCACATTCATGCATCTACAAACTTAGAAAATACTGCTCTGGAAAAAAAAGTGAGAATTCTTTAATAAAAAACTGCAAAACACTTCATCAGTAAAGGAAAAGATTAATTTAATTTACTCTAAACACTGCTGCTCCAGTTATAACTTGCTAAGTTCTGGAATTCCTTCCTGGAGGATCTGAAAACATCAATGTCTTCTCTTCAAACATTCTTTCATCATAAGGTTTTTGTTTTTTTTTAAATTCTATTTATTGCCATAATTTGCTCTGTTCTTTTAATATTTCACAGTGTTGGACAGCTTAGCTGTTGTAGCTCTACACTGTGATCACTTTATTTTATGTTTGGTGTTTCGTCTGTCTGGGTTTTTCCACTGATGCATGTAAAACAGTTGATATATCTATTTTTTATTGGAAATTGCAACATTAAATTTTTAATTCATTTTTAACAATTTAAAAAAAAAATACAACCTGTGCACTCCCTTTGGCAGAAGACTGACAGAAGACTATAACCTATGAACTGCTGGTTTTAATTTCCTGTCTTGACCATGAGTCAGAAACAAACATAGAAAACAGACCATCCCTGATGCAAACAGTACAGACCAGAGGG